TCTTAGATGTATTCTAGCTAAAATCTGCAAGGACTCAATGTGTTCTATGTTAAAGGTTTTGCTTTCTGTTTTTTAAATACAGTGGCATTTTCAGTTAATACTTCTCAAATGTTTGTTAGGCTAAACTTTTATTTTAAGCTCTCAACATTTTAATCAGCAGTTTCATGATGATGGAAAATTAATGTTCTAGGGAATTATTTGAAGTTTACTTGTCTGATTAGAATGAAAAGTGAAAATGCTTCCTGTTTTCTAAGCTCATAAAACGAAATTCAACACTAATTACCAAAATTTATGTCCATAAAAATCATCTCTCTTCAAAATATGAACTCCATTTTATATAGAACATAGTTTAGGGATTTTCTTTTAGAGGATGAGAAAAGCTGTTAAAGTTTAGATTCATAAATTTTACATAAGAAATTTTTAAAAGTTACTATTAAAAAATAAAATCAGTAAACAACAAAAAAAGTATATCAAACTGTTTTCTCTGGTAATATCATTAGAATTTTATATGAAAACAGAATTTTTATTATTGTAGATTTATTTCTAAAAAATAAGTGTCACAATTTGAATGAAGGCATCAGGGAATATTCCATTCTTCCCCTCTATACCAGAGGAAGTCTCAAGTGCTACTTTATCATCACATTTTTTATGGCTTAACCATCATTTTGTAAAATAGAATCTCTACTTGACTTTTGATTTTTAAATTCAGGGAACAATACCTGTGAGGAATTGGAGAGCAGAGTTTGAATTCCACTTGAATCCATTACATTCACTTATGTGCTAATACTCTTAGAAAAGGTATGAATCCTCTTCTTCTCCCCACAGCAGGACAGACCGGGTTCTATAGCCTTGGATGGCAAATGGTCTGCCACAAAAAGAAATGGCAACCTACTGCAGGAAAAAATCTGCCTCGTCAGTCATGTATCAAAAGATACATGATCACCTAAGCATGTATCATGCATGGCACATAAATGACTGACTAAGCAACTTAAAATTTAACTTTCAAATATTATCATTTAAAAAATACAGTGTCCCTTTGTGTGTGTGTGTGTGTGTGTGTACATGCTATGAGTATGTGTAATATAAGTTTTATCATTTGTTCAGATTTTGAAGGGTGCATTGGAAAGGAGAACTTTTCAGCACCCCCTTGTGTGTGAATAAGAGAAATGAATATCAAAGTGGAAATCCTAATGTATAATAATCAAACCATATAATAATCAGCGTGTATTTATACTTGAAAGACATGTGAAAATTTCAAATTTTCCTATTTGAATTTTCTAATGAATCTTAATTCTTCAGTTAATGATTGAATAAGCTGATTGTGAGTTGTTTGAAAATAAAATATCCATTGAAATTCCTCTATCACATTGTTAAATATTTGAGCTTAACAATGAATACTGGTTGTTATTTTAAGAAGAGGATAGAAATGAAAAGATTTGAAATTGACAACTTTTTCCATTTTACTGTTAAACACTTCTGTCTTTTTTCTTTCTTTCTTATTTCTTTTGTTTTTTCTATGCAATCAAAATGGAATAGTCCATTTTTTATTAGACATTTGTATATATTAAATAATTCTATCTTCCCTTTTTTTTGTTCTTTCTTCCCAGCCAAATCCCTATCTTTCAAATATTTCTCTTAATAATAATTTAAAAATAATTCAGTAGACAATTTTATTTATGGTAAATTGATTTTTGGCAATTACCTTATTTGGTTTCCATCATTCCATACTGTGCATTTGAAGAATGATGCAATCACTTTTTTTGCCTTTTGGCTGAGATCAAAGTGTAGTATATGTTCTTATCAGCTTAATCTGATTCTCTATCTCTCTCCACTTCTATCTTCTCTTCTTTCTTTCATTAGTATTTTTCCTCATTCTATGCAATCAAAATAGAATAGTCTATTTTTTATGAGGTATTGACAGGGCATAATGGTCGTGCAAACTAACAAAGGGAGAGACAAGCAAAATTATAACAGGATATTTCCTGTCCCAACTGTAGTGGGAAGGGAGGTATATCAATTTAAGTTAGTAAATTTATTAGTAATTACTTCCTTTAGTCATTTTAATAATCTTCAAAAATATTTATATTTAGACAAAATTAGTTCCTGGACAAAATGAACCATTTAATTAATCAGTTCCTTAACTCCTATATTTTTTTAGATTGCAGCCTCATTTGTTCAAGCCTTTCATATGAGACACTCAGATGTTGTTGTCTATTAAGTGATCATTTTGCTTCATCTTGGTCTTGAAATAGGCTTTGTCATGGCTGTTTTTGTTGTTCTGTTACTAAGAGATATTTCCATTTTACTTTTATATTAAACACATAAAATTTTTAACATGGAAAGATATTGAGCAAAAAGCGATTTATATAATACCTGGAGTAATCAATAAATTGTAGATACTGTTGAACGTCTAAAAAATATAAAGGGAGCAAAAAGCGATTTATATAATACCTGGAGTAATCAATAAATTGTAGATACTGTTGAACGTCTAAAAAATATAAAGGGAGCAAAAAGCGATTTATATAATACCTGGAGTAATCAATAAATTGTAGATGCCTAAAAATATAAAGGAGCAAAAGCTATTTATATAATACCTGTAATCAATAAATTGAGATACTGTTGTCTAAAAAAATATAAAGGGAGCAAAAAGCGATTTATATAATACCTGGAGTAATCAATAAATTGTAGATATGAACTGTTGCAAAAGCTATTTATATAAAAAATATAAAAAAGTTGAACGCCTAAAAAAATATAAAGGAGCAAAAAGATTTATTTATATAATACCTGGAGTAATCAATAAATTGTAGATACTGTTGAACGCCTAAAAAATATAAAGGAGCAAAAGCGATTTATATAATACCTGAGTAATCAATAAATTGTAGATACTGTTGAACGCCTAAAAATATAAAGGAGCAAAAAGCGATTTATATAATACCTGGAGAAATCAATAAATTGTAGATACTGTTGAACGCCTAAAAATATAAAGGGAGCAAAAAAGCGATTTATATAATACCTGGAGTAATCAATAAATTGTAGATACTGTTGAACGCCTAAAAAAATATAAAGGAGCAAAAAGCGATTTATATAATACCTGGAGTAATCAATAAATTGTGAACGTCTAAAAAAATATACTGTTGACGATCTGAAAAAAATATAAAGGGAGCAGATTGATTAAACAGTTAATTGGCCTCAATTTTAGTTATGAATTCTTTATCTCCACTTATTGAATCTCAATAGATTGTTTCAAGACTTTTGCTTCATTGCATCTCACTGTTAAAACTTTCTAACAATTGCCATCACTTTTGATGGTTATACTTGTAATAGAATAAAATCTTAACCTTTTCCGATTAATTAAAAAGCAAAAAGTAAACTTTAACAAACAATAAATACTAAAATGACAATACAAAAGAAAAGCATTAAGTTTTATATTTACTTTTGATAAAAGGGGCTTAAAAAGGGGATATAGTAAGAAGGAATTTATTTTAAGTCATTTTCTAATTTACAAGTTATAAAGATACATTTACCTACAAGCACATACCAAACCAAGCATTCAGTTGGCCAAAAAGTTTGTTGTTTATTAAGTAGAAAATTTACTTAATAAACCAAACAAACTTTTTGACTAACCCAATATTCTTTTTAACACTGTGTGTGTGTGTGTGTGTGTGTGTGTGTGTGTGTGTGTGTGTAATATAAGAGAATGAATATTGGTAGCAAATCTCTTTGCAGGATATTTCATTGAAGACTGCAGAAATATTTCTTTTGATAAGTTTTTTTATTTAATTTTTCATATTTAAAAAAAAAAAATGTTTTTTTCTTACAATTACTTGCACTCAGTGGAAATGGTCAAGCAATAACTGACCAGTACTAAATAAAAATAAGAACTAGATGATATCCTTAGACATGAGCAGTGGAATTAGAACGGTCTACCCCTGTAGATTAAATAAAGGGTTCAGTTCAGAATTCTCTGTAGGTTGCCTACATTGATATACACCAGAGGAAGGCCGACGGGAACAATGACTGAAACATTGTGATAAGAACAAAGATGAGGAAAATAGCCCACATGTAAATTATGTAACTTGCAACTTTGATTGCATCTAATAATTTAAGCTAGTTCTTCTTTTGGGGTAAATGCTGTTGTTATTCAGAGAATTGTGGGATTGGTTCTGTGCAAAGTTTTTGTTATCATAAGATTTCAGCTGTGGTACCCTTCATCCTCCATAGATCCAAATGGCGACAGTTTGTTTCGTGCTTGAACACAATCTTCAGGATACTATTCAAACAACATGGCCTGACGATTGCATTGAATCATGAAACAAACTATTGCCATTCTGTTCTCCACATTGCTTATATTTGTATACATTCTATAGAAAGAAAATAGACTAGTATCCATGCAAATGAAAAGATATTACAAGTTAGGAATTGTGTGAGTGATACACATGTGTATGTGTGTCAAATTTCAGTCACTAAGAGGAAAGTCATCCCTATGCCTGGGAGAAGGTACCGGGGAGTGTTGTCACTGTTGGATAGAAAAAAGAGAGAGAGGAGGATGAAGGCAGAAAGTATCCTCTTTTTATAGTTGCTTGACAATACCACCTGAGAACTTTTTGGTGAAACTGTCAAAGCTATGTTGAGATAACCCACAAAATTAATAAAAATCAAAACTTTTTTTACTTTGGTTTATAGTCAAGAAGGCCTAGTTTTATTGAGTGCAATAATTAGACTTTGATCTTTCATTTATTTATTTCTACGTTTCCTTTGTTTTATTTGGTGAAAACTAAATTGAACAGTCTTGGTTTCATATTTTAAATATGTCTCAATGAATCTTCTGTTCATAGACTTCTAAGAAATCCTGAACTGTTTCAGTGGTTGGTGTTAAGATAACTTTGATAAGCTATAATTCTGTTTATTGAAAGAACACCATAAGTTAAAACATTACTTCTTTTACTTACATACATTTCTCAGAGAGTACTTTTTTTTTTGCAGGTGGTTAAGTGCAACTGATGTCCTCGTTGGACGAGGTTCAGCTGCAGTCTCGCACCAAGACTGCTCGTGCATCTGTATCAGTGAGCACCTCAACAACAACCAGCACCAACACCGAAGAGGATACTGACAACGATAACAATTTAGCCTCTGAAAAAGCAAGCTCAGCTGATGGTGACAACAACACTAGTGGCAGCAGCAGCCAAACTATTGTTGCTATGGAAACAGGCAGCAATCTTGCAGAAAATGTCATTCATGTGATTAGCCCTGCAGTTGTGGCAACAGCAGCAGCACCGGTTGGATCAGCCTCTAGCAGTGCAGTGACGGTCACTCCAAATGTACATACTATCACCATTTCAGGAAATAATTTGTCCATACCATTTAGCTCGTCTTTGGTAAGTTGATATCTGCATTTGGGAGCAGTGATTTATATATTTTGATCTTTATCCTCACCTCTCCTGTGCCACACCCACTCACAGGCATGTGTATTTTGCAGATATTTATATTTACTATGTTATTAGTAATACTGTTACAGAATTTGTTGTAGTAGATGTTGAGAATATAAGTTTTATCCAGTTGTAATACTTTCCACCTTTGACTGAAGTGGCTTTTTTTTTTAAAAAAAATATTAATTTAACACATTGACTGCCAGAGATCTGACTTCAAGTGCCAACTTTATAGCCAATTTATAATAGCCAATTTAGGCAATAAGAAACAATTTTGTGTGTTAATTTATAGCTTCAACTGAAGTCTTAACATTGTTTTCACACTAAAAGTGTCACTATGAATAAACTCATTATTGAAAATGTATCACAAAATCCCAACCACAAGTTATTTTATTGGCAGTCCAAAATGAGAGTCCTCACTTTGCAAAATGATGCCATTCTCAATAGAAGCATCACATATAAGTTAAAAAGTAAGAAAACTAAAAAGAAAGAAGTGTGAAAATACAATTGGTATGTTTAGTGTGTGATTATTTAAGTAAATTAGTAATTTGTATCTAGTTTGTAACATGATTGATTCTCTTTTCAGTTGGTTAGTTCTAGTTAACTTTTTTAATTATAATTATTAAGTAAATCAACTGCTGCAATGCATAAACAATATCAACAGTTTATAACACACACACGAACACATGGGTGACCGATTAGGAATACCAGGTGATATAATTTTGGAAGTGCAGGTGGTGTAACGCATAATAGCTCAGAATTGGAAATTGGAGAGCTGACTTGCAATTCCATCAAGCTGAGGAGTAATTGGATTCATTATATTTACTTAATGCAAATACCCTTGGAAAAGGCATGAATCCATCTCTTTTCCCTTTAGCTATGGGCTAATTGGTAGGACTAATAATAGTAACTCATTATCTCCCCCAAATTATTACAATCTAAAAAAAATTTTTCTGGCTTTAAATAACCAGCAAAAGATTGATAAGCTGTAAAAAACAAATCAATCACACACACACACACACACACACACACATATATATAGTGTGTGTGTGTGTGTGTGTGTGTTAACTATGCTGACTCCTACCTAGGATTGAACTCACCATTCTTGGCTAACAAATCAGACTTTTACTCCTCAGCTTAATGGATTTGTTTTAAGCTTATTTCCTTTACTGCCAAAGTGGATTTAACAATTAGGCAGTATTTAAGTTTTCTTTTTTTTTTTTCTTTTTTTTTTTTCAATTTCTCCTCAGAAGATTTTTCTGTTGTTTGCTGAGGTGCTCTCACTCTGTTTGTTGAGCAAGATCCTGTTTTAACATCTGGTGGCAGAATTTAGTTGCTGCTGAAAAAAAGAAGAAAAGACAAATGGCTACAAATATTAAGTTTTTCACCCCACCAGTGCTTATCCCAGAAAAGTACCATCCTTAGAAAAAAAAAATGAAGTCCTGGGAAATAGTAATAAATATAGATATGAGGAAAAGAGCTCCAAATGTGTTTTTGAGTCTAAATGGTAGATCCAGAGAAACAGTGCTGGAAATGGACCCTGATAAATTAAGCATAGTGAAAGAAATGAAGTTATTGTATGAAAAGTTGGACTCTCTGTTCAAGATGAATACTAATCAAGTGGCTCTGATGGTGTATGGAAATCTTGAAAAATATATGAGACCACAAAATATCACCATCATTATAATTTCATTATAGAATTTGCATCAAAAGTTAAGACCCATTACTGCTATTAAATATAGAAACAGAGATCTCGTATATTTTAAGAGAGATGAATCAAACCATTGGATGGAGCCAGGAACCATTATAGGAACTGAAAATGAGCAGGTGTTGATCAAACATAGAGGAAGCTATGTTAGCGTCAATTCATGTCATCTGCAGATGTATAAAAATGATTTTGTTGAAGAATTGAATGCATCAATAACTGATGAGAACCCATTCAATCTGGAAAATTTGGAAGATGATTCATTGGAAGACCAAGATAGCTAAAGTACAGATTTTGAAGATACTTTGGATGGTTCACTTGATGGGAAAAATATTAGTCATTTGATGAATGACAATGCAAAAACTCATGAAATGAGTATCAGTCAGGAGCCCAAAAATGCTGGATGTCCATCAAAAAAGATTGTGAAGGTAAATAATGTAATTTTACCAAGAATAGGGCAAGAGATAATGTGAAAAGTGGTATCAGACAATGATCCTTCTTAGAAGAAAATGAAAGTTACCAGTCATGGTGGAAAAGCTGCTGGCAAAAACAAAAATATTTTAAATATATGTGTTGAAGGGGAAGACCCATTTTGGCTTGATTTTGGGATAAATGTGGTAGAGTGGAAAGACGTTCTTAACTATAAAAAAAAAATCTACAAGAAGCTTCTTGTGAAAGCGACCCTCTTGAAAAGGAATTTTCAGACAATGATGAAATTACCTTAGTTTCAGCAATCAATATTGTAGAATATACTGAAGCTAAAAAGAAGGAATTACATAGCCGGGCTGAAAGCAAAAGTGTATTCTTTTGCATCAAACTCAAGCCAAAATACAATTACAAGATGGATTTGCACCAGAAAAAAGACAAAAGATGGAATTAAAATAAAGGCCAGACTGGTTGTAAAAGGATTCCAAGATGAAGACTCAGGAAATGTTAGAAATAACTCCTACTTACTCAAAGGAGAGCCTATGAATTATCCTGACCATTATTGTAACTTTGAGACAGATATATCATTCTATGAATATCAAGACAGCATTTTTGCAAAGAAAGCAATTTGAAAGTACAGTCTTTCTAAAACCTCCTCCAGAAACTGAAGTCTCTGAATGTTATATATGGAAGTTAAATAAACGTGTATATAGAATAAATGATGATTCTTGAGAATGTTATTTAACAGTTAAAGAAGAGCTAATGAAATTGGGGAAACTGCTAATCAAAGTATGACCAAGTTGTCTTTACATGTTACTATGATAATAAAATTAATGGAATCATATCAACTCATGTGGATGACTTCTTCTGGCTGGGTAGGCACTGAAAAATTTGAAGAAAATGTGATAAAGAAAATCAAGTAAGTCTTTATGGTCAGATCAGAGAAAACTTCAAGTTTCAAATATCTTGGTCTTGAGATTTGTCAGTGAAAGGAGTCCATAACAATTAGTCAAAATGAGTTTGTCAAATCAATCCCTATGATGCCTACAAAGACTGACTATAATTCAAACTCAGTTTTGCCAAATGATGAGCTCAAATTATGCAGAAGATCAATAGGAAAGCTAAATTGGCTAGCTACACAGACCAGACCTGATTTAAGTTATGAGATAAGTGATGTGACATCATCTTTAAAAGATTTAAAGGTGGAGAATATATCACTAGTAAATAAATCAGCTAGAAAAGCTAAAAAAATTCTCCTCCAGACTGTTAATACCTAACTTAGGCAATCTTGTAAGAATGACACTGGTAGCATAAAGTTATCTTGGCAATCTCATAGTCAAGTGAATTGTGAAAAGTATACAGGCAGCAGAGACACTTGCAATGGTTGATACTATGAAAGCTTGCACTTTTTATAGAAAATATCTTTTAGAACTTTTATGCATTGAAGACAAGCATGAAGATCTTCCATTAATTTGTAAAACTAACAATGCAGACCTTTATGAGTCTGCTCACTCATCTACTCAAATATTAGATAAAAGACTGAGAATTGAAACTGCAGTTATTCATGAAATGCTTGAACAAAAGGTAATACATAAATTTGAATGAATTTCTGGCTTAAGCCAAGTTGTAGATTGTCTGACTAAGGGGGGTGTCTCCTCTACCAAGATTCTGGATCATGTATATGAGCCTAGAATATTTCTTCCTTAAAAAAAAAGATTGTACATTAAAACATGTGGGATGAATGGCCACTATGGTCTACATGAAAAAGTAAAAAGGCAGAAAGCTGTTAATTATTCTGACTTCTACCTAGGATTGAACTCACCATCTCTGGCTAACAAATTAGACTCTTACTCCTCAGCTTGATGGATGTTTTTTAAGCAGTGGCAGTAGCTTATTTCCCTTACTGCCATTAGGCAGTATTTAAGTTTTTTTTTTAAATTTCTCCTCAGAGAAGATTTTTCTGTTTGGTGAGGGCTGTCACTCTGTTGAGTAAAATACTGTTTGAACACACACACACACATATATATATATATATATATATATATATATATATATATATAGAGAGAGAGAGAGAGAGAGAGAGAGTTGTGGATGGAATTATTCACCCACCTTCCATAATTACAAATAAAGCTATAATACCTCAAATTTTGATGGCAACTTCATGGGCATTTTTCACGAAAAATTGAATTTGAAAGAATGCAATGATGCCCACAACAAAATTTTTATTTTAATGTCAAACAATGATACAAAAAAACACCAAAAACCATTTAACATAGGAAAAAAAATTATTAGCCCTCTTGCATCAATAAATAATTTTGTAACCTTTATTCTTGATTATTGCCTTTAATCGTTTTTCATAGTTCCTTACATGATCACAAATAGATCACTGATAGATATTTTTCCCCATTCTTCCTTGGCAATAACTTCTTTCTCTTACTCTTTTCTTCAAATATGCTCATAAATTTTCAATGGGGTTTAAATCAGGACTTTGTGTGGGGTACACACATTAATACTTTAATTTTGATGTCATCTAAGTAACACTTCACGTTACGTGTTTTGAGTCATTGTTATATTGGAACGTCCAGTGACACCCCAAAGACATCTTTCGTGCACTTTGTTTTGTATTATTTTTAAGAATATCCAAATACTGCTCAGTATTCATGCTATCCTGTACTCACACTAGTTTTCCTGGTCCAGAAATGGCAAAACATACTTAGAGCAGAATGTGCCCACCAACATGCTTATTTGTAGGGATGGTATTTTTTGATTTAGGAGCTTCATTCACTTTCCTCCATACATAATGGCAGTTCATTTAACC